TTTTTTTTTGTCGAGACAGTGTCTCACTGTGTTGCCCAGGCTGGGCTCAAACTCCTGACTTCAAGAAATCCTCCTACTTAGCCTCCTAAATTCACTGGGATTATAGGATTGAGCTACCATACCCAGCCAGGTCAGTTATTTTTGCTGAGACTTCCTAGGGAGGGTAAATTCTTACAACGTGTGTCTTCACCCATGGCTATGCAACAGACCCAACATGGCTGAACTACTAGAGGTCAAACGCCTAACTGTAGCTGACACTGGGCCCCCTAAGCTGGCCTACTGGGTCCTCTGACCATACTGGGGCCAATTTCCTCAGGAATACTGAAGACGTCAATCAGTAACAACTACTATGAGCATCCAATGAGAACTCTGTAGGCACTGTGTCATGTGCATGATATACATTAACATATTTAACCGTGACAGATCCCAGTTAAAGAAGTACTCCTCTTAGCCCGTCTTAGATACAGTGATTTTTCAAGTTCATCCAACTAGTAAGTTGCAGGATCAAGATGCCACCCTGTGCTCCACTGGGGCCTCTGTGCCTTAACCACTTTGCTAAAACTTCTCTGGTGACAGGAAGCAGGTACCATTTCAGAGGCATGGCCAGCTCTTGGAGTTGTGGCCTGTCCTGAAAAAAAGTCACCAACATCTTGGAACCAGTTCATCTGGACAACCACAGTTAGAACTGGGAGGGCTCCACTTCCTCATCTCTCTAAAAACACGCCTGCATGCACACACACATGCAGAAGGTCCAGCCACTCAACCGTTTAGTCCTAGATTTTTTTAATGATTTTTTTTTTTTTTTTTTTCAGAGACAGGGTCACCCAGGCTGGAGTTCAGTGGCGCAATCATAGATCCCTGAAGCCTCGACTTCCTGGGCTCAAGTGATCCTTCCACCTCAGCCTCCCGAGTAACTGGGACTAGACAGGCACACACCACCACACCCAGATAATTTTTTATCTTTTAGAGACAGGATCTTGCTATGTTGTCCAAGCTGGTCTCAAACGCCTGACCTTAAACAATCTTCCTGCCTTGGCCTCTCAAACTACTGGGCATGAGGAACATTCGCAATCAACTCCCCTATACCCTTTTGGTGTTTCTTCATCTTTAAACTAGGACTAGTGACACCTATACCATAGGGTTGTCCTTCAGTGCAACTGAGATTAATTATGTGAGACAAACCCTTCAGGCAAGGAGAGGGGTACCCGGTGAGGAAAGAGGCTTTTAGGCAGAGCACAGTGCCAGGAGCGAGTGGGCTCTTGGGCTCACCTCTTGACACCCTCCTTTGCCCCTGAGGGCTGCTGACCACCACTGCTCCCTGACCTGGGCATTGTGGATTCTGCAAAAGAAAGAGAAGAAAAGGCCTGTCAGTGACACCCCAGGGTCCACAAAGACATGGATATCACCCAGAAAGGAACGACCCCCATGAGTGAACGTGCCCCTTGAAGGCAGCGCCACAGACGCGTCCCCACAAAGGATCGTCTGCAAGGGCAGACAAGAAACACACCCTTGATTCAAGCTGTTTGGAAAGCCAGATGATCCAAGCCACCTCTTATCCTGAAGGAGTCTCTACACCAGTGACGCCCACAACACTGGGCAGCCCGCAGACAAAACCCCTTGGGTGCAGTGTTCCAAACCCATCTCTACTCTATTGACAATTATTTGGAATCCAGGTCAACTCCTAAGCACATGCCAGGAGTGGTTGAAGGAATCACTGCTTTGCTTCATGAGGACAGCCTCCCGGGAAGTGGTTTTGACATAGGGAAGGGAAGGGGTGTGAACTCTTTAAATCTTGTTTCCTTTAGTAACAACCTGAGTCTGCACAATCCTGAGTGTGGCAAATGCCCCATATTAAACCTAATTCTAGTTAACCTCTATTGCCTCTAGTATTACTGGGCTCTTTCTGTTGTTACAGTAGATCCCTTTTGATTATCACAAATTTGGGGATTTCTGAGCAAATCCAATTCACTCTCCCCACCACTTGCTGACACTGAAGGTTTTGTTCCGACTCCTGTCCCCAGCCTTCACCCTTCCAAAGCCCTCTGTCAGCCAAAGCTCACCAACTTTCTTGGCCTTCTCTGATGTTCCACACCTCACTCCACCACAGGGTTCTATGCAGCAGCAGCCAGAAGCGCACAGAACATAACACAAGAACCAGGCTGTGGGAGGCGCCCAATGAGGGTATACGACTCCACCCCAGAGCCATCAGGGAACCTTCAGGGAGCACTTCCGAAAGTGGTTGGCTGAAACTCGCCCTTTCAAACCCCGTCACAAGAGGAGGGCACTCCCACGCTGCTCAGCAACATGCCAGGTTCTCAATTGCGGTGAACACGGGAGGCTGCTGTGGGGTTTCATCTCCACACCAGTGCTCCCCATGCTTATTTGCCTAAAGAGCTTTACTGAGGTTTAATGTCTGGTATTCTTGTTTTTTATATCATTTTTCATTTTTTAACTACAAAAATAACAGGCCTGCCAATGTAGAGCAGGTGGCACTCATCCCCGCTCCCCCTTCTGTGTGCCCCTGCCCAGCCCTCACTCCCTTGGAGTGCACATTGTAGAATATGCGTTTCTTCCAGTATTAGCGACGTGGAGATCCTGCCGTGAATATGGCTGTCTGTGCACATTTCCTACTGAGCTGTCTTTCTCAAAGATTTTTAAGAACTCACCACATATTAAGATTACCAGGACTATGTCCAACGTTATATTTTCCCTAACTTATCCATTCCTGTCACTTCTTTCCTAAATTGTCTCTAATTCCTTATATTCACATTTCCTACTTTTCTTAAGGTTTCTTCATTTAATATGGTGTGTAGAAAATCTAACCTCTATTGTACTTTTACAGCTTCTAGTCATACATTTCCAACTTTTACTTCCTCTGACATTTTAGGGGGGTATGGCATAAGAGGGATTTAATTTTAACCTCTCTTTCTAACTTTGTTCCATCAGTAATATAAAGCAAACACTGGTTTTAAAAGTACAAAATATCTTAAAATTTGTTAACTTCAAGACAGTCCATTGATGCTGACTCTTCTTTAATATTCAGAAACCAAACTTGCACCTATCATTTAAACAGCAAAGTATTTTGTTGTAACTAACTCCAAGTGACAAAAGAACTACTATTCTTGCTTTCTAAACTACCGAAACTTTCCAAACTGAAGCAAGTGCTTATTTCTTCAAAGCTGAAACTGATGTGTAGTATTATATATTAAGGCAATTTTCACTTTTATCATCACTTTCTCCCTCTTTCAAGTTAATCCAGTTTGTTAAAATGCATTGGGTCAAGTTAGACCCCTCTTAAGCTCTTCTCGTCAGTCAGCTAGAGCCAGCATGGGGAGTAAGTGAGCCCTATTAGAAAAGGACAAGGGCTTCTTGGGGGATTTTCCGGAATCTTACACAGCCCCTTTACTGGTAGACAGAAAGACCCTGGGGTAGATCTGAATCCAGGGACTGACTGGCTCCGGGGCAGACAGCATGGGGGTGGAGGTGTCAGGACATCTGGCAGGCATCCCCTTGAGGATGAAGCCAGAGCGCTCTGGCCACCATGGGAGGTCTCCATGGCCTGGCTCCCAAGGGCCTCCCCAACATCTTCCCCTCCCTTGTACCTTGTATTCCAGAGACAGCAATACTTCTAGATCCCCGAGCATGCCGGGCTGCACTCCACGTGCAGACCTCTGCTCCTGCTGTCCGCCCACCCCCAGTGCCCACCCACCACCATTCCTCCTGGCTCTCACAGTCCCACCTCTACCCTGAGCCCAGGATGGATTCTATCGCTGCATCACAACATGACACATAACCCATCAGGGCTGACATCTGGCTCCATAACCAGAGCTGGGTGTGCCATGAGAGAGGGTCCCTGCCCACCTATCACTGTGTCCTGGCACACGGCACAGGACCTGGTCCCAGGTGGCCTTCAGTAAACACTAAGTCTGCAGGATACAGCTCTCATCTTCTAAACTCTTACAACCCAACAGGGAAGACAAGCAGAAAAGGCAACTGTAACACGGAGCCAGGCCCGAGACAAACAATCTAGTGGGCGGTAGAGGTTCTCCATGTGAACCTCTGCGGTGGCATGGCACCTCCAGCCAATATTTTTTTTTTTAATCGAGTTACTGAGTCTGACAGACAGACCCAAGTTCTCAAAAACTAGTATGCTTTGAGCAGTTGCTCCAAGGAATTTTTTATTTTGTAATATTTTCACATTTGTATGCCTTACAGCTTTTTTTCTTAGAACACTTTCCTTGTGTTTGCTACAAGTCATTATTTGGGGAAATTTGAAGAAATACACATTTCTTCATTTGCAACAGGCACAATAAAGTAGGGAACAAATCAGCTTTGAGCCTGGCTTGGGCACCAGCTTCACAGTGGGCCAGAAAGAAGAACTCTTAGGACCCCCTCCTAGAAGTCCAGGGGGTACCATTCCAGGGACCAGGACAGGAGCTCTCAGGCGAGGGCTGCTGCGGGCAGGCACCTAAGTCACTGACGGAATTCTCCCTTATTTGGCCCCATTTGCATGAATCCACATCATTCTTTGACTTGGGCTTTGGGCTAGAGTGGCTGAAACTGAGTCATGGCTGTGCTGCTTCTGAGAGGCCTTAAAGGCAACTTCTTTCCTGAGCTGTCAACCCAGATTCTTCTGCCTCAGTTCCCACAAGGCGAAAGTCATACAGAGGGAAAGCGGTTCGGTCCGAATCCCAGCAGCTCTGGTGACAGCATCCATCACTCCCAGAAGGCCACGCTCTTCTGGAAAGCCTGTACCAGACAGAGCTGCTTACGTCATCCAGAAGCCAACTTGAGCCCTGCGCCATCAAGTGGGCTCAGAGGAGCACCCATCAATCCTTTCGCCATCTCTCCACCCTCCACAGAACTGTCACAACCCCCATACCTTTGTGAGGGGCTCTCAAGTTGCCATCTGGAAGGCCAAACGTAGAAGATGCAGGAGCAGGGGGTGGAGAGCTGGGCTCCTTCATGCGGTTCACCACATTTTCAGACAGCTAGGGAAGCAGAAAGGAGGGACAAGAAAAAGTTATGTCACGGAAGTGCCTGGAAGCAAAGTCTCCTCTTTATTCAGGCCTCAGATTTACCAAATGTGTACAACTGTTTCCTCAAGACCAGCTCCAACAAGGCAATTCTACTAAAACTCCTCTCGTAGTGGCCCAGGGCCTACAAGGTCCATGCCGAGCCCATCTGGAATCCCAAGTCTACCACCATTATGTCCCCTGCTGGCTTTGTGGCTTCACCCCCACCACTCCCCTCCACACTCCTGGTCCTCAGGGGAACCTGATTTCTCACTTTTCTCACCTCCTCTGAATTCAGGCACGCTCTTCCCTCTGAACCACTCGAAGCCTGCCACCTTTCCCCTACACCCTGGACATCTCCACCTGTCCTAATCATATCCTTCTTTTGGGGATACCTCAATATCCCCTTCTCCAGTGAAGGCTGCTCCCCAACAGCATCCAAGCGAAGCAAAGGCATAACTCTTTCCATCACATTTCACTTTATTTCACTTTGCAGATAACACAGTTTTTACAAGATGAAGGTTTGTGGCAAGCCTGCATCAGGTAGTCTATTAGCGCTGTCTTTCCAACAGCGTGTACTTTGGGTCTCTGTGTCATGTTTTGATAATGAAAAAGCTTGAAGTATCGTAAGAATTATTATTATACCTGTTATGGTGATCTGTGATCAGTGACATTTCATGTTACTCTTGTAACTGTTTTGGGACACTGCAAACATTGTCCCTGTAAGATGGGGACCTTAACGGATAAATGCTATTGTGTTCTGACTGCTCCAGTGCCCAGCCATTCCCCACCATCTCTGTCCCTCTCCTAGGCCTCCCTGTCCCCTGAGACACAATGAAATTAGGCCAATTAATAACCCTGCAATGGCCTCTAAGTGTTCAAATGAAAGGAAGAGCCACATGTCTCTCACTTTAAATCAAAACCTACAAATGATTAAGCTTAGTGAGGAAGGCATGTTGAAAGCCAAGAGAGGCCAAGAGCTAGGCTTTTTGCACCTAACAGCCAAGTTGTGAATGCAAAGGAAAAATTGTTGAAAGAAGTTAAATGTGCTACTCCTGTGAACACATGAATGGTGAGAAAGTGAAACGGACTCTTTGCTGATATGGAGAAAGTTTTAGTGGTCTGGATAGAAGATCAAACCAGCCACAGTACTCCCTTAAGCAAAAGCCTAATCAAACCCAAGGCTCTATTTCTCTTTTCAATTCAGTGAAGGCTGAGAGGGCTGAGGAAGCTGCAGAAGAAAACAGTGAAGTGAGCAGAGTTTGGTTCATAAGACTTAAGTAATGACTTAAGTAGAGAATACTTTTTTTTTTTTTTTTTT